GTTATAAAATGAAGTTGTTTGTATTTTAAACAATTTTATATAATCAACCTATAACGTTCTACGTCTTTTAATGCCATCTCTTCATGCTTCTCTGTCTCTCCACAACTCGTCTCCAGGGTGTTCTTCCATATCCTTGTCTATTCCTTCCTATCAGCTTTTTCTGAGTCTTCTTCTTCTTCTTGTGGAATTCGGGTCTCACGCATTCTTTGAACGTTGAACAGACAAGTTGTTTGGTTTTAATTTCATCAACTATTGTGTGTGTGACTTGCATTATTTCTCTTATTCTTTCATTTGTCACTCATTCCAGTTTTGATCTTCCCACAGATCTTTACCAGAAATCCATTTCAGTAGCTTCTAGCATTCGTTTTGTTTTTTTCTTTCAATTGCCACACTTCACACCCATATGTAATTATACTTTTAACTACGGTGTCCTATATTCGCTTTTTACCGTTGTTTGTTAAATTGTTAAACAATTTTAAAGGATATTATAAAATTAACATTTTTTGCCTTAACAATCCTTATAAATATTGAAATTACGTGCATAACTGAATATAAATCCAACTGATAACTACATAATGTAATCAACAAACGCCAAAATATCAGTATTGTTTATAGACTACTCTAAACATTTTATTTGTCACAACCCGTAAAATAAAAATTAAAAAACGTCTCCATTTTAGTTTTTATAGACTTTTAAGGTTTCCTTCCCTGAATACTCTTCATGCTTCTCTGTCTCTCCACAACTCGTCTCCAGGGTGTTCTTCCATATCCTTGTCTATTCCTTCCTATCAGCTTTTTCTGAGTCTTCTTCTTCTTCTTGTGGAATTCGGGTCTCACGCATTCTTTGAACGTTGAACAGACAAGTTGTTTGGTTTTAATTTCATCAACTAATGTGTGTGTGACTTGCATTATTTCTCTTATTCTTTCATTTGTCACTCATTCCAGTTTTGATCTTCCCACAGATCTTTACCAGAAATCCATTTCAGTAGCTTCTAGCATTCGTTTTGTTTTTTTCTTTCAATTGCCACACTTCACACCCATATGTAATTATACTTTTAACTACGGTGTCCTATATTCGCTTTTTACCGTTGTTTGTTAAATTGTTAAACAATTTTAAAGGATATTATAAAATTAACATTTTTTGCCTTAACAATCCTTATAAATATTGAAATTACGTGCATAACTGAATATAAATCCAACTGATAACTACATAATGTAATCAACAAACGCCAAAATATCAGTATTGTTTATAGACTACTCTAAACATTTTATTTGTCACAACCCGTAAAATAAAAATTAAAAAACGTCTCCATTTTAGTTTTTATAGACTTTTAAGGTTTCCTTCCCTGAATATTTTGTTTTATTGACTCCGTCCAGTGTTTCATTATTTATGATTTTTTATACCCGGCTATTTATATTCCTCATATTTACTGATCGTTTTCTCCTGCATCTAGGATCAAGTTCTGACGATATTCATATTTGGTTTTTTTATTTTTTTCCATTTCTTCTTATACATATCATATATTTATTGATTCAAAATTAATATAATTTCTTTTTTGTTATTTGAGTTAATGGCCTTTTAATGTTACCCAAACGTTTACCCCAATTTAAATAATGTCAAATGAGGGTGCCAGAAATAATTCGTTGTCGTTAATTAAACTATTATCCTTTTCAATTTACTCAATTGGTTAGTCTAATTTGAATATTGTTGGGTGTTCAACTGGCTGGCTTTTTATATTTAATGGAGTTAATTAAACTAATCATATTATTCTGCGGGGTGGGTAGATTGACCAGTGCTTAATTGGCAATTGCTGAATTATTTTTGACCACGATATTGTGTACAATCTTAATTCGCTTTACCCTATTTAAAATCACCCACCCTCATTTTGCATGCAGTAATATCTTATATCACCCCACTCTATTTTAGATTACTCTAGGGTAATTTATAATTAATTATTGTTATAATTAGTCATTTTGACCACGAAATTGTGTACAATCTTAATTGGTTAATTCGCTCCACCCTATTTTAAGTAACCCTATTAAATCTTGTCTAGACCGGCCTCGGTTCATTGACCCCCTCCTCATTTTGCTCATACTAATACACACTACTGTCAGACATCTTTTATTGGTGTTCTTGAGTTTAGACTTTCGCAAAATTCAATCTTCTTTTTCTTCTGTTTGAAGATTTTCTTTGCAAAAGCATCTAGTCGTTTATACTCCATTAGGTTTTGTAGTGTTGGATTCTGTTTATAATTTATAAATGCATGTTTTCTATTTTCAGCTGCTAACTGACAATGATTGTTCCACCATGGTTTCGGAATATGACCGTTGTTTTTTTCTTTATTGGAAGAATGTTTTGGGATAGCGACGTTGGCTGCCTGGTTTATATTTGTTAATAATTCTTCGTAGATTAATGGTATTTTCATTGCTTCCAAAGCACTGGTATATATCACCCAATTGGCTCTGCTAAGGTTCCATATTCTATGTTTTCTACTGGAGGTGGCTTTTGCTGCGGAGAAGTTTTGTGATGACAAAATAATTGGGACATGATTGGATCCATAAGGTTCTTGTAGAGTATTCCAACGAAAATGAGAGGCAATATCTCGGGAACAAATGGTTAAGTCTACAGCAGAAGGTTTATTGGAAATAGCAAGAGTGGGGGACCCGTCGTTTAAATATTCTAAATTACAGTATTCTATAGCATCTAGAAGATCTTTACCTAATCTATCATCAACTTCGCAGCCCCATGCCAAATTGTGTGCGTTAAAATCGCCTCCAATTATAAATGGTTTTGGTATATTTTCTAAAAAACTGATCCATTGCTGAATTAAAACTTTGTTCCTGGGTTCATTATATAGAGAAATTATATGTAAAGGTTTCTTGAAATGTGCAATTTTTATTGAAATACACTTATATGTAAACGAATACGTATTTTGAAAATTTATTTCTTCATATATTATGTTGGATTTCAAAAGAATGGCACAACCGCCATATCCATCAGGGCGATCAGCTCGAACACAATTAAATTCTTTAAAATTATAATATTTTCCTGGTTTGAACCAGGTTTCAGATAATAGAGCTATAGTAATGTGGTTCTGATGAAGTAAGTATTCTAAATTCTCTTTATTAGCAACTGCTGAACGACAGTTCCACTGTAAAATATTTATTTTATTTAAGTCTGCGAATTTGATGTTAGATTTTGGTTAAAATGGTTACTAATTATCTGAATTACATCAGCTTTTGAAATATTAAAATTATTATTTTGTTTAATTGAATTAACAATTGTAAGAACCGAATCTAAAATGACATTTATTACAGAAGAATTTAATTCTTCTGACCGTGAATCTGCAATGTTTAAGTTTTTTTGGTAGAATTGACTTTTAACTATTCCCTCAGGATGTTTTGGAGGGGAAACTGTAGATATTATTTCTTTTCTAGCTATATCAGTTGGGTCTGAATTATTTGGTTTCTGCCTTTTATTTGGCCTACTGGTGTTTGTGTGAGGATTAAATATAAATTTAGCAAAATTATTTCCCTGGGAGGAAGTAGAAGGTTGTGAATTTTGTGGAAAATTTGTATCATTGTTGACTGTATTGGTCCTAAGAATACTAGCATATGAATTTTTAGGCACTTGTTTATTTGCATCGTAAAAATTAATGTTTGTTAAACCCATCGTCTCTTTTATTAACTTTTGTCGTGAGAATTCTGGGCATGCGCTTAGATTTGTGGTCAAATGTTTCCCCTTACAACTAAAACATACGTGTTCGAAATCAACTTTTGTACAATCTTTTGAATTATGCGTTTCTTGGCATCTGTTACATCTTGGCTGACTCCTACATTGATTTCCCAAGTGGCCGTATCTAAGACAGTTAAAGCATAACAAAACTTTCTGTTTATATATTTCAACTTCTTTAATAACCTTATTGATTACTATATATTTTGGTAAATTTTGCGATTTAAAGGTCACAATACAAGACTTAGTAGGGACATATTCGACAATTTTTTCCTCATTAACATTTTTTTCTACTTTACGCGTAATTCTTTTAACATTTGCAATTTCAAATATGCAATGACTATCATACTGTTTAATTCTATTTTTAATATACTCTTCCGATAAATCTGCGTCTATATCCCTAATAACTCCTTGTCTGTGTAAAATAAATTTTGGAATATACAAATCTAAATTATTTAAACGAAATATTTCTAGAGTTTTGTTTTTAATGAGGTTATTAGCAGTTTTATAATCTTTGCATTTGACTCTAATTCTATTTCGGCCAATGGCGTCTATACTTGAAATCATATTGTCTGCTTCAGGAAAGTTAGACAAAATAATTTCACCAATCTTTAGAGGATTTAATTTACCTTTAAACTCCATAGAGCTATTCTCGATATATACATGATATGGGCCTAGATCATTACTATTAAATAAAAATGCTTGTCTTACCTGTTTTGTTACTTTTTGTTGTGTTTCATTCAGAAGGGTTGTATTTGCATTATTCATCAAATTTATTGGTGTTGGAGTACTTACAGAAAGATCCATTTCGGCATCACTTTGATTATCGAATATGTTTCCAGATATACCTGGTTTTGAGGGTTTTTTGGGGTCAGGGGGTCTCCCCCCGCTATTGACACTCATACGGTAGGTGGTTCAATAAGCGATATTGTTGTTAGCCAACGCCACAAATTTCACAATTTAAAGCACAATATTAATTGTAAATTATTGCTCGTCTAATTTCTATGAAAACTACTACGGAACTGTATTTAATACTGATTAAATCTCAAAAAATTTGTAAGGAACTTCAAAAAGCGTCTTTTAAGTTTGACAGTTTTTTGACAATTGAAAGCCTTTGACTTCGTTAATACAATAAAATAATTTTTCTAATCAGTGACAAATGTATAAAATAGTAGTAATGAACATACAAAAATGTCATATCATCGTCAGATAAAAGTGTTTCCGGGGCTAAATGTTTCCGGAACTAAAATTCTTCTTATAATTATAGGTATCAACGGCATGCTCCCTCGGAGTATTTGGAACCCAAGTGGGGTGTGCAATCGGTTATATTCTACCCCCGTTAATAGTACAAGATGGTGACGTCGAACAAATTGGATCCCAGTTGAAAATCCTGTGTTGGTTACTAGCTGGATCAATGGTTCCAGTCACAATTGTAGTATTAGTATGTAAGTATATTCAATATGTTATAAAAATCTTATTTCACTGAGTAATAAAACTCTTCTTTTGGATTTCCTGTAAAAATTCAGTAAACCAAGAATTTATATTACAGCACTATAATTACACCAAATTGAAATAGCGGTAAATAATAAAATTATTTATTTCTGTATTGAATTTACTTTAAAAGTCCGGTTGTCTGCAGAACGTTTTATCAAGCTTTCACTTGCCATTCTCATTGTCAGATTCCGCTTCTTGTCGATGCTCGAAGAGAAATTTGTTTTATTACTTCATAAGGCAAGGTTTTTCATTTTTAATTTGTCAAATAGACTTTTCGGTGATTGCCGATGCGTTTGCCTTGAAATAATTTTTGCTTCGTTCTGAGTTTCGCTTTATATTTCTTTGAATGTCTTTGTCAATGTCCACATAAATTAGAGTGAACTGTAGCATTCGTGATATAACTACTAACCAATCTCTTAGAATGTATTTCTAATGCATTGAAACTGTTTTTGATTTCAAATTTCGACAGAAAAAATAGCTAATTGAATTCTATGGGATTTTTCTTAATATTAGTGCTGAGAGATATGTAAAGGCGAAGTATATGAAACGATTCGGGGAACTGATGCTTATAAGCAGAAAACTTCGACATAAATAAACTTCTTAGAGTTCCGTCTCCCTACGGAGGTTGGCAATCAAAATGGCTATTTTTATTTTTGAACTTGCTGCTCTAAACACATCAATCGATCTGCATTGATACCAATCACGTAGATTCTTCAACCATGAGTTCTGCCTTCGTCCAACAGATATTCTTCCTTGAATCTTTCCCTGTATTATGAGTCTCAAAATTTCATAATTTTGGTCCCCTCATCACGTGGCCTAGTTATTCCAGTTTTCTGGTTTGTATAGTGGTGATATAGTACTTCTTTATTTGTAAATATCTCAGTTCATGATATTTTTAATACTCTGCGGTATAACCAGAGTTCGAAAGCCACGATTCTTTTTAAATTGCGTTTTTCTAATGTCCAAGTCTCAGCTCCATATAATAATATTGAAAATGGTACAGCGAATGGTACGTAGTCTGATCTTCAAATTTAGATTTTTGCACGTAAGGAGTGGCTTCATTCATATAAATGCTGATCTGGCAATCTCTATTCGCCTGTTTATTTCTGCAGTATGATCATTGGTTTTATTGATCAAAGTTCTTAAGTACTGATATTTTTCTACTTGTTCTATTACGTTACCATTGATTGTCAATAGGTCATGTATATTTTGTGATCTTTTTGTAATTAGCATGTACTTCGTTTTTTAACGTTTATAGTAATTCCCATCTCAGTACTATTCATACTTAAGCTTTTGATAAGATGTTGTAGATGTTCTATACTCGTTGCTAGGATCACAGTGTCGTCTGCATATCGTAAGTTGTTAATTAATTTTCCGTTAATGGTAACTCCCACTTTGATATTATTGAGCGTGTTTTGGAAAATTTCTTCAGAATATAAGTTAAACAAAAGTGGCGATAAAACACATCCCTGTCTAAGTCCTCTACAGATCTTTATTTCTTCTGAGTGTTGTCTATCTGGTTTCTGACAATGTGGTTTTCTGTATGTGAATGAGACGTCCATGTATATAGTCTTCTCATAGGAAGCTGAAACCAAGTATTGCAATTACATATCTTTTCGATAGATCTATGAGCCTTAATCCTCTCTCATTTATAGTTCCTAATCCGAACAGTCCAACTATATTTTCATCAAAGTATCCTAATAATTTCCAGTTCAATATATCTAGATTTTGTTAACTTGATTGTATTGTGCAATTCTGAATAAAACTCTTCGATCTCATCTTCGGTCTTATCAGCTGTGGAAGCATAGACTTGGATCATATTAACATTAAAGTTCCGTGCTAGTATTTTACCATTATTATTCTTTCTGGAATTTGAATCACACCTAGCACTGATTTTCTAATAGTGTTGCTTATGATGAAAGCTACTCCGTATCGATGATCAGTTTTGTCTCCTCCAATGTAATAAATATTGTGGTTATTTATTGATATCTCTCCATTTCCTGACCATTGTACATCGCTAATCCCAAGTATATCTATATTTTAGCCTCTCTTTCTCTATATTAACATCATGTAGTTTTCCAGGCTAATACATACTTTTTACATTCGAGTTAGCTTTTTTTATCTGAGAGGGTTGAGTATTTTTTTGAAGTTGTACTTCTATACGCGCGTTCGACGTTGGAAATTTGTACGGGAGTGAATTTGCAAAATCATTACATATGTAAGATATAGGTAAGAGAGAGACAGAAGTTATATTTTCTCTCTCTCTCTCTCCTCGAGAATAATTTTAATTTAAAAATATATAACAAGCATAAGATATTTTTTATATTAATTCGGTAGATATATACATTTGGCCAAAGTCTTCTACAAATAAATATTTTTCCTGAAATTCTATGATTCGTAATAACCTTTCCATATTGGGAATACAATATATAAATAAACATAAACACAAAATACAACCAAAAAACTGACATTTTAAATAATGTTCTTGTCAAATAATGACATTGATTAGCCACCTTATTATTTAAGGTTATTGGTCGAATGAGTTGAAGCGCGGTATTTAGAACCAGAAGTCGCGAGCTCGATCCCAATGGGGAATATATTTTTTTAATTATTATGTTCGGATTTTTGAAGTTATACTTCTTACTTTTGAAGTTATACGCGCGTTCGACGTTGGAAATTTGTACGGGAGTGAATCGGGAAAATCATTTCATATGTAAGATATAGGTAAGAGAAGAGACGGAAGATATATTTTCTTTTTCTTTCTCCCTCGAAAATAAATTTAATATAAAAATATATAAGAAGAATAAAATATTTTTTATATTAACTCATTTTAATATTGCATTTTAATTAAATTGTATTATTATATTAAATTATGTAGCAGTGTATTGTATTGTATTTTTATATTATTAACAAAATAAACAATGAATTTTACTGCAGAGTATGTGGAAAAAATTTGTTTTCAAATATTTTCATATATATATATATATATATATATATATATATATATATATATATATATATATTGTTGTAATCTGCTTTATGATGTTTTATTATTAATTAACGCTAATTTAATTAATCCAATTATTTAATTAATTAATTCACTAATTTATGCAGAGTCATATAATTCAGTTACTATTAAAAATTCTCAGGGTGCCTTTTTATTAAAAATTATTACTTTAATCAGTTTACTTTATATATCTCTTCTAGTGGGTTCAGTATCTCCTAATTGCTCATAATCGGGATAGAACAGGAAACGGAACTAACATTAAAACAACATAAATATGCACACATTATTATTTATTTTCAATAAACAATACGATGAATATTAATAAATAACTTCTGTGGGCAATTATCTTTCCCAACAAACTCCTATACTCTAAATTTAATTTTAATTACAAACTATCTATTGATCTGTTTTATAATAATATCTACTAAAAAAAAAGACCATATAAAAATATAATTTATTCACAAAAAAAAATATCTTTGAAACTTGGAATCTTAGTTCGTATGCTTATATTTGATTTTATCTTTAGAATATCTTAAAATTTTCTTTCATTCAAATTATTTGACTGACCTTTATTTTTACACCAATGATGTCTCCTCTCGATCAAACCACAGTTCCTTCCTTGATTGATTATGTCCGGCTACCATCAAATCTTTCCCGTTCTCAGCATCGATCCAAACCGCATACCAGCAAACTACTCCTCCGAAAACACAAGCCCAAGCCTCTTTTGACCGGTACTATTTATTCACAAATTCTCCTTTCTTTCTCAATTATATCTCGTGGACTATGCAGACTCAAAAGAGGTATTAATCTTCTCGATTTTGATCTGCTCTCAGCTTCCACCTTTTTCACTAACAAACGAAAACACTGGTACTCAGATTGACTACACGAAAACACGTCTTCTCTTCTGGTCTGCCGGTAACATAATAATCTTTCAATCTCTCCCAGACAACCTTCTCAACTCTCTCATTCCCACCATTCTTTTTTAACCAATCATAAGCATTCATCTTTCCCACTTATTTTCGATTTAGAAAATTTCCAACATGATATTTAAAACAAATAAACTACTTTCACTCAAATTACTTTTCAGAAACCATTAACAATTTTGCCTTTTTCAACAGAAATAAGTTTCCAAATTCTTGTTATCTCTTATCTAAATCTAATTCTTATTTACTTTCGAAAAATGCCCACCGCAAAATACAATTACAAGTTTATTCCTAAATCTATAATTATACTGATTCCATTGTCCTTTCACTATTCACTCAGTCTTTCACGGAAAAACTCGTTAGGGTCCCGTCACGGAACAATGTTTTCTCTTATTCTAACTATTACAAATAAGTACAGGGTTGTATTTTAACTTATATGCCCGCGGTATATTAAAATAATAAAAAACTCTTTATTCTATTTCTGATCGATAAACTGATCCATAACAATATATATATATATATATATATATATATATATATATATATATATATATATATGTGAAAATAAAAATATACATTTTCATCAAAATATTGATTTAATCCTTCATTTACTATACTCCTATTACAGGTCAAATGTTGTTTATATACAGCAAACGATGCACCATATACCTATATACCTTATTATGTTTCTCTTTCTGCTCTCTCTTACATTGCCATTACATATATAATGATTGTGCAGATTGATTCCCATATAAATTTGTAACGGCGAACGCGTGTATAGAAGTATAACTTCTACCGACAGTCCCACTGGACTGCCACACTCGTTTTTTTTTGGTTTTTTTGTGTAAGGGTTTCGTATGTTGATGACAGAGGGGGCCTTGCGTTCTGATGGTTGTCCTCCCCTGTCGTATTTTGGTCTTCGATTACCATAATCAATAATGTCTCTTGCGCAAATAGTGCTAGCCATTATAATTTATACTAGAGATGTCATCAGGGACCTTTAATGCAGTGGTTTCTTGTTACCTTCTGCATTCTGATGCCGTTGACCGCTTTCTTGGTTCTTTCGCATTCGAGACTAATTTCTCAGTCTCAGGATAACAGAGTGTCCTTCCACTTACCAGCTCATCCCACATAAGCCGTTGGCCAGTAATTAGTGGATTGCTTATCCCAGCAAAGACCATGTTCTAGATCATCATACTAGCAGATGAGGTCCGTTTGAATAGGAGTGTCGGTATGTTGCGCTTCACTATCCTATTACATCCCATAATTAGACTAGAAGCAACTAAATGTCCAGAGAATTAAACCTTGTTTTTATTTGCAACAAAATTAGATCGCATATCTCTAAGGCTTCCCGCTTTCTGCTGGACCTGTCCTCTTCAATTCACGCCTTTTTTTAGTTTATCATTATCCGTTGCCAAAATTGTTTAATATCCACTGATCATCGTTAAAAAGAACTTTTAGACTGATATCAGTGTTTTAAACTAATACTTTTTATGTTTCAGACTTCCCAAACGAACCTCCACTACCCCCTAGTAATGCACAAGCGCTTTTAAGACTGAACAAACAAGAATTTGACACCAGTGTCTTCTTCAAATCTATAAAAAAATTGTTTTTAAATCGAGGATTTGTTATTCATATGGTAGCCTATAGTATAAATATCGCAGTCTTCTCTGCAGTGGGTACTTTGCTTAACCAATTTATTTTGCAATTCTTTGAGGTAAGTACATAAGAAATACTTTAATATACTCTAATATATCATTATTATTATCATTCTCAGCGGGAAGTAATACTCATTCAATTTAGGTGAGTCTCCATTATATAGTCGTTCTTCATTTTTGTTCACCATTGTCTAATATTCGCTTCTCTGTGCTATGTTGTACCTTCTTTTTTCTTTATGTCATAGTCCTATCTTAAATTTAAACGTTGTATTAGTCTTATGACGCTTCTTGGATAGTACAGTGTAATTCTAGTGGACCAACTATTGTCAGTTTTTCTCGCTAAAGATCACGCCGACTGCCATTAAATTTTTAAGATTTAAATCTATCGATTACATCAGTGACCTCTGTTTTCTGTCTGATCCAATCTTTTCTTCTGTGATCTCTTTTTATTATGCCTAACATAAATCGCTCCATTGACCCTTGAGTTTCTCTATTAAATCTTTTTTAGTATCCAAGTTTGGCAGCAGTATGTCATGACAGGTAGTATACACTAATCAAATTCTCTTTTCTTCAGATGGAGTGGAATTCTGGATTCTGGAGCCCTTTGAAATTTCTGTTTGGTGTATTCTTGTGTGTTTTTTTGGACGCTATTCTTGTTATTATCTTAGCTTTTACCAGAAAATGATCCGTGTCTCCATCAGTTCCTCTTAGGCTTCTTACGTCTAAAAAGTTACTACCCCTCCTGGCATCTACTAGAACATGATCGATCTGATTTCTTGTGACGCCGTCGTTGTAGACCCATGTATGTTTGTGTATTTTGGAACTAGTAGATGTCCAAGATGTATTAATATACAACACTGCATTTGAGACAGTAGAGGAGTGTGTATACCTGGCACAATTAATACATAAATCTGGCTTTTTAGTCCCAGACATCTACAGAATAATAAAACTGCCTGAGGCATCTTTTGGTAAAAATGCAGTTGATTACAAAACTTGGATACTAAAGGAAGAAATAATAGCGAAACTTAAAGTCATTTAAAGCTCGATGGTACGATGCATGCTAGGTATAACAAAGAGAGATCGTAAAATCATAAAATAAATCAGAGAAAAAACCAAGGGCGCTGATGTAATCCACAGAATTAAATCTTTAAAATGGCAGTAAGTGGGACAATTAGCGAGAAAAATTGACAATAGATGATCCACTCGAATTACATTGTGATATACAAGAGGCGTCAAGAGACTAAGAAATTGTCCACATTTTAAGATGAAATTATGACATAAGGAAACAAACTGGTACAACATGGTACAGAAAAGCAAATACAATTGTGGGTAGAAATGAACAAAGACTATTTAAGGAATTCTACATCATAATCGGTTGAGTTTCCGTGATTAATATATTGTACATCATCTATACTTTTTTCAAATTTCTCGTGGATGAGTATCCCAACTCCTGAGCTTACAGTATTCTCCTTTTTCATTCCTGCTGTGTACCAATATCTAATTTTAATATTTGAAAGTTTCTTTACATTTTTTTCTTGTCTGAAATCCCGCATATATCGATTTTGTAGAAATAATTATGGTAGTTCCATAATTATTTCTTGTTTACTGCTTGTCCATGATTTAATATTCCAATCCTTTCTCGTTGTCCTTTTTCTCGCCGTTTTCGTCGTCATTTGGTTCCATCTTGTTTCCAAGGCTTGCTGATCATTTTTTAAGCACTGATAATTTTTTTAAATAGGCAGGTTGCTAACCTTGCCTATCAACCCTTCCACGCTTATCCGAGCTTGTGACTGGCTGTGATAACTACCAAGCTACTCGATCTACCAGATAGTCATCCCAGACAGTGTTTCACGCCTGCACTACTGGTATATAAATTGATTAGTTTAGCAGCTTGTTCTCACACATGAATATAGCGGAGATGCGCTGTCCTGAGTTTTTGCATTCGGTTAGGAAACCATGTTGGGGTTCTATTACCCAGGACCTCCACATGAAGAGCACTTGGCTGATCGAGTTAACACACCTTGCTCCAATGAATTGTTACACCCGATCGTACTACCTGGGTGAACATTTCTCATAGGCTGGGTTCAATCAAATTGCTTGCTTGTTTTTCACTCCCACGCCAGATTAAGGGAGAAGGGTTCTTAGTTAAGGTCGACAACATACCTAAGTGTTTACATAACTCACAGATCATAGAGAACAAATAGACTGTTTCTTATAAAATGGAGTACAACGTAAAATCTACTTTAACATTTTAGAAAAATTTAACATTAATAGTAACTTTTAAGATTTGCTACATACAATACTTTTTTAGGGAGATTATGAAAATGCCGGTTGGATGGGATTTGTTATGGTTATTTCTGGAACAGTTGGATCAATTATTTTTGGAATTTTGCTAGATAAAACGCACAAATACAAGTAAGATATATTTTTAATTGATATAAAATAGTTAGGTATTTTTTAACTATCAAAAAGTTTGTGCCCTTACCACAATAAGACGTGTTTAGCTTTACTTAGAGCTCATCAGATATTCGTTGGGTGAACTCTGTAATGAAAAATATAAGTAAGTGGAATGTATTATATTTGAATTTGTGTTTGACATCCAAATCACAGAACAATAAACAAACAGAATGTCCACTCTCCACGGAAAATTAAGTACGCGCATCTCCTTCGCGCAGACATTCCGCCATGTTTTACGAGGATTTTAAAGGGAACCAGTGTTGTTTATGTGGTGTGCATGGAAAAAAAAACCAGGTTTATTTGACTTACGGCAATCATAGACATACTATACAATTATATTAACAGTTTTAAATATAATAACATAAATATAATATAATTAAACATAAATGTAAACAATTGCATAACCTCACAAATCATATGTTTGTGTCCTCCTAAAACATGGCGCGCGTGCTGAAAAACTTCAAAGGCGGCATCTGAGAGTGGCCCTACTGATTGTTTATTATTCTGTGTCCATATATTATACTAAGGATGGAATATGTTGATATTTTTACATATAGCTGAATATTTGAGCCTTAATTCATTAATCTGCTTTACAAATTTTATTTTATGTTAGGTACATTTTACGCAGTTTGTAGGTTCTTAATTAGGTAGTATTTTTTATGTTTAAGTTTGGAAGAAGTTTATTGTTTTTTTTTTGTTTAAAAGTACAAACTATTCTTATTCTGATTTTTTCTTCTTTCTTGTCTTATTGTTATAAGCTTTGTCCATAAAATTTGTACAATTTTCAGTGACAATAAAGCATATTACTTATTTACTTAATTATTTCTTTGCATTGCTATTAAGGCTAAAAAATATCCAAAAAATTAGTTTTAGAGTATTATAATAAATATACTACTACTCTATTTCAAAAACAAGAGTTGGTAATTGTTACTAGCTATTTTGCACATAAGTATTAATTCATGGGTTCCATCCTTAGTATTATTCCGATGCTGTTTGACATACCACTATCGATAAGTTCATAGTGTAGCGAAACATGTCATAGCGTCTGAGATGTTTTAGGTCTTCTGAATGTATAATGTATTTAGTATAGTACCTATTTGTAGAACTTATTTTATTTATCTTTTTTTAGGGAAATAACTCTATTTATTTACTTTTGTTCAGCGTTAAGCATCGGATTTTTAATGTTTACGTTAAAATACCGACAAAAGTTGATGACATACTTTTCTTGTGCACTAGTAGGGTAAGTATTTTAGTTTAATGAGAGGTTTAATTAAAAATTTGTAATAATTTTAGTTAAAAAACTCAAAATGGATTATTTCTAAGGGATTTTAACTTGCTTTATAATATATAATTAGTAATTTTTTATTTTATAAATCATGTTTGGTAATTTTGGCTTGACCCAGACGTGGGCACCATTTTCAAATAAGGGCTCAATACTCACGGTTACTAGACTTACAACGGTTGCCTATTCCGACTAACCAATGAACATTAAGCCCGAAATTACGTCACGAGAGTACAGTAATTTGGATCATAACATTGTTAATCGGCGTTTTTATGTCTTTGATGTATGGAAATAGTAAAGATGTTTAGTGGATTATAATACCTAATTATGGAAAACTGTTGATATGTAGGTAGTTTGGTACTTAAAATTAATCACAATAAAGTCCTAGATTTACGTAACTCTAGAGCTTAAATCTCCATTTTACACTGAAAATTTGTCGCCTAAACTAAATTATCATCAATACTGGATTAACTATTGGATGAATTACCGGCCCTTAAAAGTCAGCTAGGATTCTTCCAGTTAGAATTACTTGTATAATTTGATGTAAGAATTTAAATAATAGGTAATAAATTTTAATTGTTAAAAAACGTAACTAGTTTATTGTATTTTCAATAGATATAAATATACCTACACTATATAATTATTTTTTTCATTTTTTAAATATTTTTCCTTGATTGATCATTAATGTCTTCATCCTTCATCTTTTTTGCTTTTGGCACTAGTACCTAACCTGGCTATTGAAGCATTTATTTAAATGTTTAAACGTTAAAAACGTTAAATGTTTATTAAATGTTGTAAAATGTTTTTACGAGACAAAGAAGTGTATAAGAACAATGACTGAAAACATACTCTGCAGTTCGATGTATAATTTTCTTACCCGGATTTAGGTTTTCATCATGAAAATTTTGAAAATATTTTTTCATCGTCATTATCATTACTTGGTTTACCCATTCCGATGATGCACTTATGACTCCATCAAATGATAAATGTTGTACCAGGATGGTATAGAATAATTGTGAACATTTATATTTTGTTGCTCATAGTATGTCTTCCTATATTTGGGAATTGATTTTTATATTTAAATGCTATGAAACCAGCAATATATATCAACCCATCCGTATCGGTTTCTTTTGTTATGTTAGCTATTTGTGGTAAGTCTGAACTACTGCTACTTTTGCACACCATTTTATTGACAGTATCAATTACTAGAGCCAATAACCTATTTTGTTCTTCCAAAATGTTCATTCCATAAGGTCGTTTAAATGTAGTTGTAGCAGATGTAAAGGAATTCATTAAATCAAACCAACTATTAATAAGCTCTATAAACTCCCCAAGTTTTTGTGCTGCGATTTTTTATCTCTGGCTGCATCTTGAAAATAATGTGAAGTCAGTTTATATGCGGATCTTACGTCTGTTGTTGCAGCTTCAATTAGTTCTTTTAACAAATGTTTTTTCAACGCTCTTTCTTCCATCTTCAAGTTGAAATTCTGTGTCGATTAACCAGTTTGTTGTTAATTTTAGGAGATGGGAGCATCAGCAAACATGTAGATATTTGCTTTCGTGACTGGATGTGTAAAATGTGTGATGTCAACTATAATATTCAATTTTTTCCAAAGTTCTTAATTGCCTTCCCGTAATCAAACACGCATGCAACTACATTATATTTTACATTGTGCAACTTAGTAATTATGGTGGACAAAATATTGTCAGTTATACTTGTATCAAGGCCAATGTAGACTGGTTGCTTCCATTTATCACTACTTGCATCTACCTATGAAGGCCAACCACTTCATCCTCTTTTTGGTCATTCATACTGGGCAAAGACTTTCATGTTATCATATGACAAGATGGTTACTCTTTATAGTTCAGTTTTTGATTTTCCAGCAATATACATTACCTCTCTCAAGAAGTTCAAAGATCAAAATCTATAAATCCATCGTCAGACCTGTAATAACATATGGATGCGAAACGCGGACCATGACCAAAGCAAACGAAAAAAAGCTCAGGCGCTTTGAACGCAAAATACTTTTTTTCGGACCTCACCATGACATCACCACAAACCAGTATAAGATCAGAACTAATATCGAATTAAAAGCACTCTACAATGACGCTGATATTGTCCAAGAAATTAAATCACAGCGACTAAGATGGACAGGCCACGTGCACAGACTGCATAAAGAGAGACTTGTAAAACTGGTATGGGAGGAGATTCCTACATGCAAAAGACCACTCGGGCGTCCCAGAATGCGATTGAGAGATAACATCCAAGCAGATCTCCGGAAAATGAACATTCCATTTGACTGTAGGTTGATGGAAGACCGAACAAATTGGAAACAAGTTGTACAGTTAGCCAAGACCCACCCAGAATTGTAGCGCTACGTGATGATGAAGTACATCTTGTAGGAGACCAAATCTAAGATTAATGTGTGCAGCCCATTTTTGTAAAATTGATATTCCAGTTAATGGGTATTAATTCTTAGATATAAATAACATATTTGACCAAAATATCTTATTGTGAAGGATTTTAAAATTTCTTCTGTGTTCCAACATGCTCTTTTTTTTTCACAATAATTTTAATTTCGTTTTTACTAAACATGTGTCCAAAGTATTTCAGAATGTTTTGCTCACTTCTTCTTCTTCTTCATGTACCATGTCCTTTCAGAACGTTGGTTACCATCATAGCTATTTTAATTTTATTCACTGCCACCCTAAATAGCATGCTTGTATCTACACCATACCAATCTCGCAAGTTCTTCAACCATGAGGTTCTTCTTCGTCCTGGACTGCGTTTGCCTGCTATTTTTCCTTGCATGATATTTTGTAGCAATCTATATTTGGGACCTCTCATTACATGTCCGAAATATTCCAGCTTTCTCTGCTTGATGCTTTTTATGATCTCAGTAGTCTTGCTGAGACGTTCTAGTATTGTGGAGTTACGAATCTTCTCCACCCAGGAAACTTTTAAAATTCTTCTATAGCACCACATTTCGAAAGCCTCAAGGCGATTTAGATCGATTTTATTCACAGTCCAGGACTCGACAGCATAAAGTAAGACCGAGAACACGTAGCAGCGAAGTAGGCGGATCCTTAATGCCAATTTTAGGTCTCTGTTACATAACACCTTGGACATCCTTCTAAAAGCAGCTCTAGCCTGCTCTATTCTGGATCTAATTTCGCCGTGATTTTCTGCATTACAATTTAATTGCTGTCCAAGGTAGACGATTTTATCAACTTGCTCAAGTTTGGTATTATTTACATATATAGACGGTTTTATATTCTGTTGTTTACTTATTACGAGTATTTTGGTTTTCCTTATGTTAAGATCCAGACCTGCCTCCCTACAACTCTCAACGACACTATCAAGTAGTGTTTGCAGATCTTCTTGACTAGAAGCTAGGAGTACTGTATCGTCCGCATATCGCAAATTATTGATGACTTCGCCGTTCACAAGTATTCCTTCTTGTTTTTCAGAAAGTGCTTTTCTGAAAATTCTTTCGGAGTAAACGTTAAAAAGCAGGGGTGACAAGAGGCATCCCTGCCGTACTCCTCTTTTAATATTGAGAGCTTGTGATTCCACACCATCTACTAAAACTGATGTTGTTTGATTCCAATATAAATTTGCAATTATTCGAACATCTCTGCCGTCCAAGCCAATGTCTTTTAGAGCTTCGATCAATATAGAGTGCTTAACACGATCAAATGCCTTTTGAAAGTCAATAAAACAACAGTATATGTCTACAGATATATCACGACATCTTTGAGCAAGTACGTTCATTCCAAACAGTGCCTCTCTCGTTCCAAATCCGTTACGGAAACCAAACTGAGTGTCATCCAGGTATTCCTCACATTTATTGTAGATACGACCATGTATTACCTTCAGAAAAATTTTCAATAAGTGGTTTAACAAACTGATGGTTCTATAATCAGCACAGGTTTTTGCTGTTGTCTTCTTAGGTAGAGCTATAAACAGTGAGTTAGACCAACCATTAGGTAGTTGTCCGCTGGTATAAATGGTATTGAAAAACGAAGTTATAGCCTCTAAAACATTGCTATCCTTTATAAGCTTATATATTTCAGTTGGAATTTCATCAGGACCAGTCGCTCTGCCATCTTTTGATGATTGTATGGCCTTTATAACCTCACAGCGTGTTATTAGGGGTCCGTCGCAGTTAGTAATATCGGGAGGTGAACTACTCCTATCGTCTTCGAATAGGTTCGTGACGTAATTTTCCCATTCTTTAAGTTTGTCCTCTACTTCGAATATTACTTTACCATTTTCATCCTGTAGCAATGCATTTTGTTTCTTATTGAAGATACCAGCCGCTTCTTTTACTTTTTTATACATGTTAAACGTGTCGTATCTTTTTTCGAGTTCTTCAATGTCATGACACTGTTTGGCTAGATGTTGACTCTTTGCTTCTCGTATTTTACGTCGAATTTCTTTTTGTATGCTATTGTAAAGTGTTTCGTTGGTTTTTGCTAGTCGCCGTTGTTCCATCAAATCCAGTATATCATCTGTCATCCAAGCCTGCTTTTTTGGCTTTGACCTGCCTTGTAAATTTCTCACACAGATTTCTTTTACTGTCGTTACGATTTTATTTAAGCCCTCATCGACGTTTTCACCAATATTTTCCCAAATTAAATTTTCGTTCAGTTGTCTTTGAACTGATTCCTTAACTTTCTCGTCTTGTAGTTGGGCTGTATCAATCTTTTTGCGAGACTTCTTTTTGATCACCTTTTTTAATTTTAATTGGGTTACAGCTACTATGGGATTGTGATCGGACCCAATGTCAGCACCTGGATAAGTTTTAACTGATTTGATGCAGTTTCTAAATCGATTTTTTATTAGAATGAAGTCGATTTGATTCCTAATAATTTTGTCCTCTGATTCTGCATTTGACTTCCAGGTGTAGAGTCTTCTCGGTGGTAGTTTAAAATGGGTATTCGATATAATGAAA